GGGTGGACCCTTATAAAAGAGGCTCCAGAGCGCTCCATGCCCCTCTGCCACATGAGGATGCAGCGAGAATGTGGCCATCCCTGAGCCAGGAAGCAGCCCTCGCTGGACCCCAAGCCCACTGGTGCTTTGATCTTAGACTGCCAGACTCCAGAACTGAGAGAGAGAAATGCTTATTGTTTGTAACCCCCAAGTCTGTGGTATTTTTGTTTTATCAGGCCCAGTAGATGAAGACACTATGGTAGGTATAAGCGACGCAAAGAATCATAAAATATAAACCTCCCCTCGGGGCCTTGCAATCCCACTTCGGTTCTAGGGAAGGGGGTCTGTGATGAAAAACCAAGCAAATATTGAAAGAGCCCTTTCAATAAAGCGACTTAAGCTATTGAAAGCACAAGACGTCCTTGTTAGAGCAGACGTGTGACAAGGTATGTGGGAAGATGGGAAGGGTGCATTCGGAGTAAATCATAGGGTGGAGAAGCCATTACCTGAGCAGAGGGGGAGCAGCTCAGGACTGCACACTTGTTGGGAGCCAAGGCCACTCATAGGAGGCTTCGGGGAGGAAAAGTGTCATTGCACAAAGGGCTGTGTCATCAGCAAGTGTGAGACCCTCTCTTTGGGGGTTTCTAGAGCTAGTGGGGGAGGATTGAGAGGCAAGGCTGTTCTGTTTTGGGGATCCTGCATTACTTTTGGCCACCACTGGTGTGTCAAGAGCAGGGTGACTTCTTTCCTTTCTTTGGAAATCTGAGAGCAAACCAGAAAGAGCATGTGTAAAAAAGAAATGAGTGTTTTAATGAAAGAAATCATAAAACAAAGTGATCTTTCTCATCTAACGATGTGAAAACTGTCACCATCCACTGTCACCACTCCATGTAAGTAACTGCAAATGGCAAGCCATTCACATTCACTTGGGGCATTTGGATGCAAAGCAGAGTGGATTTCTAGGTTAGTTAAAATTAGGGTTAGACACATGTAACAGAAAACCACAGGTAACGGTTGTTTCAGCAAGGCGGAAATTTGCTTCTGGGTCATACAACTCTGCAGACAGGCAGTACCGGGCTGCTACAGTGGTCCTTGGGGACCCACGCTCTGATCTTTCCACTCTGACAGTTTCGGTGCATGCATGGGTTTCATTTCCAAGGGCACCTCATGGTCCAAAATAACTGCTGGAGCTCCAGCCATCACACCCTCGAGGAAGGAAGCAGAAAGAAGTATGACAGTGATGCCAAAAGGTCTCTTTCCAGTAGCCTATGCCCTTTAAGAAAACTTCGTGGGAGTCCCGTACAACATTTTCACTTACATCTGATCGACCACAACTTAGTTGTGTGGCCCTTTGAGACTGTCAGGAAATGTAATGTTCAGTGCCCGGCTCAAAATAGAGGCTTGGTGCTTCAGAAGGGAGCATGGATGGCCGTTGGGGAGTAACTGGCCTCCTGTTCTCCCTTGCCTGTCTATCTCCAGAGCTTGCTGCCCCCCTAACCATCCAATCTCACTCACTGGGCCCTTACTCCGTAATTGCCCCTGGAAATTGAACACCATGAAAGTCACACTCCTACAACAAAGCACACCCGGCCCTAGACACTCAGATTAGATTGAAATTTAAGAAAAACTTCTAGAACACATACCATCTGCCGAGCACTATGTTAAGTACGTTCACGAACTTTGTTCCCAAGGATATGGCCTGCAGTTCATGAGGCCACACAACTCATCAAACATTCTCTTACTCTGGGACGGCTGCCATCTTTACCCTTGGCACATAGGAGCTACTAGAGGAGGTCGGGTGCTGGGAATATTTGCACCTACCCCCTCCTTGTTGTTTTCCTTGCTTCTCACTCTCTCTCCTTCAGAAAAGCAGAGGAGAAGAAGATACCTGAATTGGGGTTGACTAAGCATTCCAGCTTTCCAACTGGGCCGTAATATTTTCACTGAGGCATTGAAATCTGTGCGGTAAGCACAGCCCACCGCAAAACTGCAAATAGACAGCCTCTTGGGGTTTCCACTTGTTGCCCCTGCTTTCCTGGTTCTGTGCATATCCGCTCTGAGGGCTGGCTAATCAGCCAAATAGGTCGTGGGGATATTTCTAAGCAGAACTGGCTCTTTCTCTCCAATCAGCTTGTGCCTGGTCCCCGGTGAGAAGCTCGGGTAAGGGGGACACAGAGGTCTCTCATGTGGTGTCTTAAGTGGACCTTCCAGCTTTTCCACTCTCCGGGATCTGATCAGGCTGTTAGAAGCAGAAATCTAATTCCATTTGGATTCCTATCAGGACAACATTGCCCTGCCTTCCACTACTCAAGCTTTAGACAAAATATGGCTGCCGAGACTTCTCCCATAACTCTTCCAAAGTGCCATCTTTCTGCAAACGAATCAACTGTGTTGCCCACCTTTTCAAAATTTTGAGTTCTCCATGGGAATAATTAGTAATAGTTGTTTGGTGGGTCCTTGTTATTCCAAGCAACAATTGTGCATACCAGAATAAGGGGAAAGAATATACAAGAAAGAATAAAGAGAGAGCCAAAGAACAGAAAAGCATAGAAATGGCGAGACCATCTGTGTGGATGCAGCTCAGGGGGGCTGTTAAGATGTGTATTAAATCGAGCCTTTTCCAAACGGAAAACATGCGCCTCTAAAGCTGTTTCCCTGCGCTGTGGAGAGCACACTCTGCAGAGACTGGTCACGCCTCAAACGATTGATACACTGATCATTGGGAGGTGACTTTAAATCGTGATTGGACATACAGCGAGGAGCACTTAGGCTGCCGGGAAGGGTTTTCTTGTGTCCACGGGTGAGGAACTGTGAAGCCCAAACGCAACTTTAAAACGATCTTCCCTGGGGGCGCCTGGGTGGCTCAGATGGTTGGGCATCTGCCTTCGGCTCAGGTCCATGATCTCCAGGTCCTGGGATCGAGCCCCACGTCGGGCTTCTCCCTCCCTGCTTCTCCCTCTCACTCTGCCTCTCCCCCTGCTTGTGTTCCCTTTCTCTCTCTCTCTCTCTCTCTCAAGTGAATGAATAAAATCTTAAAAAATAAAATAAAATAAAAAATAAAATGATCTTCCCTATTTGCCACCTTGGGTAAGACCGGGCTGAAGGTCACGGTCTTCAGAAGATGCTGCTGCGCTGGATTTCTTTCTGAGTTGTCTCCTCATCCCACCTCCAGCACCCCACACGCAACCCCGGGGGAGGCGACGGGGAGCCAGCTCTCCGACCCTGCGGTTCCTCGGGTCCCTCTGTCACAACACACAGCTTCCCTCCCAGAGGGAAGATAAGGTAGCCGCGTGGAGCCAGCCCAGAACCGGGGAGTCGGGGAATTTGAGTTCTGACACCAGCCACGTCTTGGTGCCCGAGGTTTCTGTAAATGAGGAAACAGGTGCAGACCACCCCTTGGGTCTTTTCCAGCTCTGGGGTTCTGCTTTTGCTCCCTCCTGTCTGAAATTTTGCAAGGGGGAGGTCACATCTTTGCCTGAAGTTCCCCTACCCCGTCTCGGGGTTCACGGCAAATGCTCCCAGGAGGGGTGGCATCTTAACGCACTTTGGGTAGCTTACCCTTCAGCGGGAATTATTGTTGGCAGTGTGATTAAATAAAGCTGTAAACTTCAATTTGAATCTTTTTTTTTTTTTTTACGATTTTATTCATTTGAGAGAGACAGAGAGAGCACGAGTGAGGAGGAGAGGGAGAAGCAGGCCCCCTGCTGAGGAAGGAGCCGGATCCGGGACTGGATCCCAGGACCCCGGGATCACGACCTGAGCCGAAGGCAGACGCTCAAATGACTGAGCCACCCAGGCGCCCCTCAATTTGAGTCTTATCACTGATAATACAGAAGACTTTGCATAGGACAGATAATTTGTTAATCTTCCTCAAAGTGAGGGTTCTCCTTCAAACCTTTGTTTGAGTGCTTTGCAGAGCACTCAGCAGCCTAGTTGTTGCAGAAATGGCGAAGGATAATTACCAACTCTACCTTGTTTTCTCTGATTTTGGGCTTGGTTCTTGTGCAGATTGATTTCAGAGTAAGCTTGTGAAGATTAACCTCCTCCACTAAGCCTCAATTAGGAAACAAGATTATGGCATTGGCAGCCAAAGGAACAGCTGTTTTTTTTGGGGGGGGGAGTGTCACAAGTTGCTACATACTAGGCTTTTTTAAATTGAAAATCCTCCCATTTGGGCCTTGTTAGGTTTTCTGTGGTATCTCCAACCGTCGCTTGGGAGGGAGCCATCTGATTTTTCTTCTGTGGTCCTCTCAAGCTTCAAAATACTTCGAAGGAAGGTATTTTTCAGGGTTTCCATCAGCAAAGGGCACGCAGTTCTGAAAACCCTGTGCTGTGAGGACAGACAGAAGCATGGACAGTCTGCCAATAGATTTATGCTGTTTGCCTTTTTAACTCAGGGCCTTGGAAAGTCTGATGGTGTCGGCAGCTCATTGGCTTGCTAAGGATCTGCCCCTTTGCTTATTTGAAATGCTTCTCTCTGGCTGGTGAAGCTCGAAGCTCCCAGTTTCTTACTTCCCTGGTTGGTAAGAATTAGGACCTACCTGTTGCGTTTAAATCAATTCGGGAAACCAAAAACACACAATCCTGGAAGAGGATGTCTGAAAAGGACATCTTGACCCTGGCGTGGCTTTGGGGAAGTCACATCACCTGTTTGTGTGTCAGTTTCGGTCTTTATTAAATAATGATGCAAATATCTGTCTTGCAGGCTTGATGTGAACTTTAGAGGTAATATCTGTCCGAGGTACACAAATGTAACATTGTTTAAATTGTCCTTCCATGGCTGGACTCTTGAGTTGTTTGGGGGTGATTGGCTATTATAGATAATATTATTTTTTTTTAAAGATTTTATTTATCTATCCGAGAGAGAGAGAATGAGATAGAGAGAGCATGAGAGGGAAGAGGGAGAAGCAGACTCCCTGCTCAGCAGGGAGCCCGATGTGGGACTCGATCCCGGGACTCCAGGACCACGACCTGAGCCGAAGGCAGTCGCTTAACCACCTAAGCCACCCCGGCGCCCCTACCTGAACTGTCTGGTGGCAGAGAGATTCTTCTATCCAAAGGTACCAGGGTCACCTGAGGTCCTGTCTGCTCTGGGCACGTCAGAGCTTCGCCTTCTGCAGGAACCAGCAGAGTATCCTCCTTTGTTTACCGTGTGCAGGGGATGTGGGAGAGGAAATGGTGACTGTGCAGAGGAAAAACCCAGTTGCATTAAAGGCGTAAGTCCAGAGTCTTTATGTAACAAGTAACCAGCTTGCTTAACTGCCAGGCAGGCTTCGCTTCAGTAGCTCCCTCCGGTCAGTTACAGGAAGACCTTGGCTCTTGATGTCCTCCTTATGTAACTAGGATGCTACTTCAACAGCAACATCACCCCACCCACCTGTGGTTTCCTAATAGTCTGTGGTTTTTCTAAATCTTTTTTTTTTTTTTTTAGGTAATCTCAAAACCCAACTTGGGGCTCTACCTCAGGACACTGAGATCAAGAATTGCAAGCTCTATCAGTTGAACCAGCCCGGAGCCCCAGTAATCTGTGGTGGGTTTTTTTTTTGTTCGTTTTTAAAAATTTTATTTATTTGAGAGAGAGAGAGAGCACAAGCAGGGGGAGCGGCAGGCAGAGGGAGAAGCAGGCTCCCCGCTGAGCAGGGAGCCCGATGCGGGACTCGAGCCCAGGATCCTGGGATCATGACCTGAGCCGAAGGCAGACGCTTAACCGACTGAGCCACCCAGGCACCCCAGTAATCTGTGTTTTTTAATTGCCCTCCTTTGTTGCCTGTCTCACTTGGTCAGCGTTTTCTCTTTCCTCTCTGTGTGTTTTCCCATATTTCCTTTGTCTATATGGGTATATTTTTCTGGGTCCTTCTTTTGTTCTATTACTCATCCAAAATATAAAATTAAAACCCTTTTAAAATTATTTTAAGTTGGTACAGTCACTATGGAAAACAGGTTGGGCAGTCCTCAGACAATTACAAATAGACCTATCATATGATCCAACATTTCCATTTCTGGGACCATATCCAAAAGAAACAACACGAACTGGAGAAGATATCTGTCCCCCTCCACCCCCCCAATGTTCACTGCAGCATCATTTACAATAGCCAACACATGGAAGCAACCCAAGTGTCCATCAGTGGGTGAATGGATAAAAAAGTTGTGGTAAATATATATACAATGGAGTATCATTCAGCCACAGAAAATGAGGAAATCCTCACATTTGCAACAGCTTGGACGGACCTTGAAGGCATTACGCTAAGTGAAATAAATCAGACAGAGAACGACAAATACGGCATGATCTCACTTATATATAGAATCTAAAACAAAACAGAACACGCAGAAAAGAGATCAGCCCTGTGGTTACCAGAGGCGAGTGGTGGGAGTGGGAAGGAGAGATCGGAAGAAGGTGATTGAAAAAGGTACAAACTTCAGTAATAAGATAAATAAGTTCACGGGATGAGATGTGCAACGCGATGGCCGCCCCTTACACTGCTGTGTGATATATGGGGACGACAAGCGAGGAGCTCCTATGAGTTCTCATCAGAAGGAAAAATGTTTTTCTTTTTTCTTTCTTTTTCTTGTATCCATACAAGAAGATAGATGTGAGCTGACCCTCCGATAGTGATCATTTCACAACATATGTAAATCATAATGTCATGCTGAGTGCCTTCAACTTCTGCAGTGATCATTTCTCAATAAAACTGGAAAACAGTATTTTTTTTTTCTAGTTAAAGATGGCAGGGGGACCTCATGCATTTGTCTCCATGCTCTCCTAAAACCTCCAGAAGCAACCCAAAAGGGGTTATCTGCTAATAAGCAGTAAGTCCACACAGAAAAGAAGAACAGAAGAGAGGAAGTAATGGAGGAAATTTGCAAGCTGGAAAGGGGTAGAAAGAGATACAGATTCTAGAAAGATGAATTCTAAGCTTCCAATAAGGGAAGCCAAGAAGCAGAACCCAGAAGATTCAGGAATATGCCGCACTGATACTTCTAGAATAGCACTGAAAGTGGGTTCGGCACAAGAGGATTAGGTGAGAGTCTTTTTTTTTTTTTAAAGATTTTTATTTATTTGCGAGAGAGAGAATGAGAGAGAGAAAGCACATGGGGGGGGGAGGGTCAGAGGGAGAAGCAGACTCCCTGCCGAGCAGGGAACCCGATGCGGGACTCGATCCAGGGCCTCGAGGATCATGACCTGAGCCGAAGGCAGTCGCTCAACCAACTGAGCCACCCAGGCGCCCTAGGTGAGAGTCTTTTTAAGAAGCCCCTGGGTCCCTGATCTCCAATCGCTCCTTCCCCACCTGATGGAAGACTAGGAAGTGAGGTCCACATTCCACAAGCCCCATCTATACAGAGAGAGCTCCCTGTCGGCCTTTTAATGGTCCAGTCTTAAAAATGGGCAGATAGCAAAGGATCACCAGACATCTGTGGAAAGCTTTCATCCTAAGAGAGAGCCTGCAATAGACTGAATGTTCACTGTCCCTTTGCCCCTTCCTCCAAGTTCATACGTTGAAACCTAACCCTCAGTGTGATGGTGTTTGGGGTGGGTCTTTGGGTGGGAGGTGACCAGGTCATGAGAGTAGAGGCTCCCCATTGATGGATTGGTGTTCTTGCAAAAGAGACCCCAGAGAGCTCCCCACCCCTTCCTCCATGTGAAGACACAGTGAGAAGGCTGTGAACCAGGAAGTGGGTTTTTGCCAGGCACCAAATCTGCTAGTGCTTTGATCTTGGACTTCTAGTCTCCAGAACTATGAGAAATAAACTTGGGTTGTTTATAAGCCATCCAGTCTATGGCATTTTTTTGTTACAGCAACCCAAATGGACTAAGACAGAGACCAAGTCATACAGAAAATAGAAACGTAGAGGATCCTATGTAGAGAGAACAAAACTTTGAGACATTTATTAACATATGGAGAGAAATAAAATAATATATCGCACCCTTGGAAGCAATGCTTGGAAATTATGATGACCAGAAGCAACTCAGTAGATGTGTTGGAAACTAAAATTGAAAGGACACACAAAGCAAAAGAAAATCGGAACCAAAAGATAAGGTAACTGGAAGATGGGTCTGGGGTATCCAGACATACACATGGTAGGCAAGAAAGAAATGCTCAGGGACACAATTCAAAGAATTTTCCAGAACAGATGAAAATGAGTTGCCAGATTGAAAGGGGCTGTTGAGTTATTAGCACTGTGGGTGAAAATGGACCCCCCCCCCAGGGCACATCATTGTGATGTTTCGGAACAGTGGGACAATGGAAAGAAGAGTCTCTTGAGAATCTTGCCCAGAAAGAAAATGGTGTCCTGCAGCTACATTGTATCAGAATGGCACAGACTTCTTCAAACAACACTAGAACCTAAGATTCAAGTGGAGAAAGAGTTTCAAGTTTCCAAAAGGAAATGAATTTCAATCTAGACATCTACACCCAGGTAAGCAGCCATTTACATATGAGGGCAGATTAAAAAGGGGTTCTAGTGAAGCAGACCTGCCATGTGTCCTTTTTAAGGGAGTTTCATAAGCCAGGTGAAGAGGCAAGTCCAATGAGAGGTGAAGGGGAGCCCGCGAGGATGGGAAGGAAGACCCCACGTGACCATCGTGTTGGGGACCTGCACATCACGGGGCCTCGCTCAAGAAAACTAAACCACCGAAACAAACCCCAGCTCTCAGTCACTCCAGGGGAAACCAGCGTGCAGGAAAGGAAAGAGAATCAGTTTGCTACTTGTCTCAGCAATGAATGGCATTTCCATGATCACAATAAGGTAAACAAAGTTAAATAAAACTATGGTATAACCACATTGGGAAGATGAAGGATGGAAATGTGTGTGTGTGTGTGTGTGTGTGTGTGTGTGTGTGTGTGTGTGTGAGAGAGAGAGAGAGAGAGAGAGAGAGAGAGAGAGAGGATACGCAATACTAAATTTCCAGAGTGAGGAGCCAATAAAGCAAAATCTGAAAGATCAAGAAGCAGCAGTATAAACATTTTACTAGGAATATGACATTAAGAGAAACAGTTAAAAACAGTTGAAAGTAATTGTGTTTATGGAGTAGGAGACTCCTCAAATTCTGTGCATGTATAACTTTAATAAAAATGAAAAAAAAATAAAAATGAAAGGAGAAAAGCAGCCAAGAGAGAAATATTAGTTGCGATTCTTCCCAAGTAAAACTCTTTCTTTAGTAACAAAGGTGCACTTAACCTATATAGATGATGTGAATTTTCTTCCCATTAAAAAAACAGTAAAAGGCACCCATTTCCATTTCATGTTGGTGTGCAACTTCCACCACAATCGGGAGACAGATGAAGGGACATTCCCATCATCAGCCCAGTCCTCTTTTGTGTCAGGCTCCTTTCCAGCACACTTCAGGTTCAACCATGTTGTGTCTGTCTGCGTCTTGTTCCTTTTATCACTGAATAGTATTCTGTTGTGAGGAACATACCACAATTTGTTTATCTGAGATGAAAGTTTTTCAGAGAACTCAGAACAGTGAAATTGTTTTACTCTTGCAGTCTCTTGGTTTCGAGCTCCTTCTTCCCATCAGCAGACTCTCTCCGCGGTCAATTACCAAAAAGGGAACCAGGATCTAACAGCGAAGTGAGATTCTTCTGGGGAATCTGGCTCAGTTGCTTAGCAACGCACGGAATAACTGTATTAGTTTAGGGGATTCTGAACAAAAAGGTAATCATCTTTTATTCCCAGATAGAGTGAAGACGATGTTATTTCAAGTAAAGTGGGGAAAAAGTAAAAACCGCGAAAATGGGGGGAAAACGCATCTAGTAAATAAAAGCCTAATGATGCCTCCCGCACTCACACCAGAGAGTCCCCGTAAAGGTTCTGCTTAAGACCAGAGAATCTCATTTCTCTTAAATACCAGGGTGTAAGGCACTGGTGTGCAAAATTTTTAAAAGGCACACACACACACACAAAATGATGCCAGAAAGAATTATAATTCATGACTGAAGTAAAGAGAAACACATTGACCTTTACTGGTGTTATGACTTCAAGGAATCAATTTGAGGCAAATGGGAAATGTCTAGCATGTATACCCTTCCGAACAAAGAAAGGATTCCTCCAGACCTTTCCACTCCCGGTAGTGAGTAACTGCTTCCCATGGTAAAGGTGAGGACTTGGGTTTGCTCACCTGATTCCTTCATCTCAGAAAGAATGCTCTCCAGTTTGCAGGGGATGCTGCTAACATTAAGTGCTGTTTTGTTGTTGTTTGTTTGTTGTTTGTTTTTTTAACTTCCTCAGGAGTTTTGCCAACTTGGTACAACTACTTCCTTCTCATTATCTGTGTCCCTCTCCCCCCACCCCCACGATACAATCTGGCAGAAAAAACTCTGCTAAGAATCATGGATTTAATGAGCAGAATATCCCCCAGCCATTTCAAGCAAAGTGCTTAATAATCAATCAGAGATCGGTTTCACTTAGTTTTACAGGGTTGAGAGGGAGACAAAAACCCTTCACCATCATTTTCGGCTCTCCCTGGAGCTGTTCCCTACTTACCTCCTAACGACAGATTTCTTGGTTTAAATCATGCCCCAAGGGGAAGGGCACGAAACTCTGGTTGTGCAGTTTTGTGTCAGTACCTGGGCATCTGGTAAAAGACAGCTTTGCAGTCTCATTTATTTTAGGGGCGAAACTGACTACCAAATAATTGGGTTCGTGTTCCCCCTTTCCTTGGGGTGGCAAGGATCCGTCCTCCCGAGAACATGTTTCATTGCAGCCTTCGAAAGGAAAGGAGCTAGGGGAACACATCTTCCAAAGCTGCTATCTTTTTATTTTCAGTCTAATTAAAAATGCTCCAGTCTCTTCTGGTTCTGAGTTGTAAGAGACATCCACTTGTGTTTTTGAATTGCGTGTGCTGTGCGAGCATACAGGGGCAGATAAACAGGAAGGCAGGCTCTGCCGGAGAGCTTTGCAAAACCAGCACACATCCTGGGGCCCCACACAAATAATGAAGATCTCACTGCTACACGGCCCTGGAGCTGGGGAGTAAAAGCTTGTGAGTTACAAGTGCCCTCCATGGTTCCCCCCCCCTGTTGTGACATTTTGTGCTGTGGTTTCTGCTCCGGGCATCTAGATGTATCAGTTAGCAGAATAGACCTGATGGAAAAGTATGGCTTTGCACATTAACAGATTCTTGTTCACAAAGTACCACATTTCCAGCAATTTACTGAAATTGAGTCTCCTTTGGGCTACAAGGCGGAGACTCCCAAAGAATGTGTCCCTGTCTCCATATTATAAAATATATAAAATGAGAGACAGATCTTGTTAGTTTTTAATTTAGTGTTCTCATGGGATCCGTGCTTGTTGAAAGGCTTCGAATTAGAGCAGTGTTCTCTAAAATTCACATTTAGGGTCAGCAGGAGCCCTAAGATTTCTGTTGGGTTCCATCTCTTCTTTATCTTTCTGAGTTTTTTGTTTTGTCTTGTTTTCGTTTTTGGTTTTTCTCTCCACTGTGGTGGGTTTCTGGTGAGAGGATAAGAAACTAACAGTGATAAGAAAAAGACATGCTCTCTGCACGTTTCCACCGATGACGTGGAAACTCATGAAATACCACACGGTTGACTTTCGCAAGACATAAAGCAATGATCACACAGAGCAATAGGATACGGTGACATTTGTCGGGGCTGCTGATTATCAAATCGACTTATTGCTCAAATATTAGTTGAACATTTCTTGTGTGTGAGGCACCAAATATACCCATTCATGGGCCTTAAGAAATTTCAGGTAGAGAAAATTTCTTTTGAACAGTGATTCTCAAAGAACCTTGAGGGTCCTCCAGGAAGAGTTTTTTAGCTGGAAGAGATCCAGGGAAATGAAGGCATATGGGACTTGCGGAGTGGTTCAGGTGTTGTCAGGGATCCAGCTAGGGATCTGGCAAGGGATCTGGCGAGAGCAGGGATCCGGACCGGATGGAGCAGGAAAGCCAGGCCTTTTTTTTTTTTTTTTTTCCTTAGCAGTAGAGAAAGTAGAGATGCTTCCATAGTGGTGTGTGTTTGTTTGTTTTTAAGACTTTATTTATTTATTTATTTGAAAGAGAGATCAAAAGAGAGAGAGAGAACATGAGTGGAGTGAGGGGCAGAGGGAGAAGCAGACTCCCCGCTGAGCAGGAACCCAACGTGGGGCTCAATCCTGGGACCCTGGGATCATGACCTGAGCCAAAGGCAGACGCTTAACCGACTGAGTCACCCAGGCGCTCCTTCCAGACTGGTTTTGAGGACTTAGTGCGAAGCTAGTAGGAAAATCGATGGACTCGTGGACCTACTGTTATCAAACATCTGATCTACAATGAGCCTTACATATTGTCAATGATGATTATTTTAAAAATGGAATTAGAGCTTGGAGGCAAAGCAAAAGCAGAAAATAAGCAATGCTATCAGGAAGCTGTGGGGCACGGAATGGGGAGGGTAAATGCTTGGGGTCTGGGGGTTGCACCCCAGCCTGTCAGGGGAGGTGGCTGAGGACATGAGGGGCAGGGAAGCCAACGGAGCCAGGTCCTGTACAGACTTTCCCCCGAGTGGAGGGGGAGGGGGCAGGTGGCTCTCCATCCTTAGCCAAGCCTGGCTGAGCACGCTCAGATGTGTCCTCAGCATCTCCTATGGGTGGTATCTGAGCGATTTCAGGTCTCTGCACCCATGACCACTCTGGGAGCATAGGTATCTTCCTATCCAGAAGCCTGACACAGGAAGTGGCTTCTCATGCAAGGACTGGCTCAGAGCAGAGCTGGGACCACAACCCAGATATCTTAACCCTTCTGCTACCCTACTCTGCACCTTACCTGCTCGTGCTCAGAGATCTGGGAAGGCTTCTGCCAAATACCACGTCCCGGGGACCCATGTGGCTCTGGACTTGGGCAGACCAACTTTGGGATGTTCAAGGGCAGGCTTCTCCACCTTGTCACTGTTGGTATTTGGGGCAGGAGTTTTTGTTGTCGGGGGCCATCCCATGCACTGTAGGATGTTCAGCAATGTCCCTGACCTCCACTCAACCACAAGCCAGTAACACCCCTGAAGTTGTGACAGCAAAAATATCTCCAGACATCACTCAAAAAAACCTCTGAGGAGACGAATCACCCTTGGTTGAAAACCACTCCTCTGGTGGGTCTGTTAATATGGTGGCCGTTCTTCCCACTCTGAGTGACAGGTGTCACCAAACAAGGGTGATGCCAAGCAGGGAGCATGGAAGAAGGCTGGGTCTGGCGTCATGGCGCCCAACTTGGGGAGCTGAGCCTTGGAGAGGGGAGCAGGGTGCTGTTGGACAGAGAACCCTTGTAAGGGATTAGATCACACAATTCCCGGGGCTGAGAAGTCCCACACTTGCCATCCTCCAGCTGGAGACACTACGAAGCCAGCGATATAATTCAGTCCAAGTCCAAAGGCCCAGGCGAGAACCAGGAGCACCCATGGCCAAGGGTGGGAGAAGACAGTGTCGCATGGAACAAGAGAACAAATCCGCCCTTCCTCCATCTTTCTGGTTTACTCAGGCCCTGAATGGATTAGAGATTCCCACCTGCAATAGGGAAGGGGTCTTCTTCATCCAGCCTACAGATGGAAATGCTCACAGACACACACAGAGATAATGTTCTACCAGCTCTCGGGGCAGCCCTTCGCCCTGTCCGCTTGACACAGAAGGTCAACAGTCACAGCATCCCGGTGTTAGGCTCTGGCTCTCTGCCTCCAGGTGCCGGGAAGGGGAAAGGCAACCACATCCTGTGGATCTTCATCATCCGTGGGCTACAGTCCAGAGCGTGCACTGGGGGA